AGGGAGGTACCCATGGGGAAAGGGGGGGGGGGGGGGGGGGAAGGGATCTATATAAACGGGATCCATCTTCTAAAGCGGTACCTATCACTAAAGAGGGGGGGGGGTGGTCGTAGAGTGAGTTACAGTGACGCGGAGGCCTGGCGTAGCCATTGTCTCTCACGACGCCGGTCGATCGCCCGTTTGGCTCAACGACCCGCCGCGAGACGGCCGCGGGGGCCTAAGTGGTTCGGACGCGGCGCTGATGAAATTATAACGCGCCATAATATTCAAATTAGTCGGAGTGACACACTGGACTCTGTGTAAATCACCAGAGTGCCGGGCGAGTCTATTAAGCGAGGCCGTTTGGGCCCGGCCCTATAGTCGTTTCTCTTTTGTCTCTGTCGCTCTCTATATCCGTACGCGACTCTATTATCGGCCCCAATAACAGTTGCATAGCGCTGCGCTCGGCCCTCGCTCTGTTTATTTAACGCCTAGAGTAATTTCTCGTCGCCCCATAAGTCGGGGCCGCGTTAGACGGCGCGTGTGGGCAGCGGCCGGATGAAACGGCAAAGAGAGAAGGGCCGCGGGGGAAAGGAAAAAATAAAATAAAAAAGAGACACGGAGGCGGGAATCGATCCCGCGACCGACCGAGGCGGTGCATATGTGGCGCTCCCGGCGTGATGGATCGCTCGCGGGCCGAGCGACGCGAGCGTGGGTGGGGGGTGTCGTTGTGAAAAGGCGATGGATGGCTCGATGACAGCCGCGGGGGCCGGAAACGGGCGGCGGCGTCATATCACATACTCTCTCGTGTACCTCTATCTCGGTATGCCTGACCCCCTCTCGGTACTACCGCGCATTAATAAAAGCGACGCCGGACGGGGCTCCTCTCTGCGGCTGAAAGGCTGCCGTCTTCTTTCAATGACGGACTGACGTGACGGATACTGGGGCTTAACTGCGCGGCGACGCCCGCGGTGACGACGCCTTTGGTCACGCCGCGGCCTCGTCCACCTCGGCTGCTGGTGCTGCCGCCCGCGGCCGCTTTGCCATCTGATTGGGGTGGTTGTCGTGTGTGTTTTCCAAAACTTGATCCGGATCAAGGAAGACTTGTCGTTTTCGTTTGGAATAATGCTTACACGAAGAGTTTTAACAACTTTGCGTCAAAGTGAATGGCAAAGCTATGAAATTCCTGCTTATTTGTGCTTATTTCACAGTATTTTCTTTTGTTTAATCGAACGGCATTTGGGAATGGGAGTAGTTTGAAGATTTCCTCTCGACGTTTCGCATGAGAAACTGGCGAAACATTAATCAGGCGGGCTGTTGAAACTCTCCCCACGCCCCGTCTCGTCCCGCCCCGCCTCTACCCTCCCACCCCCTAATGATGTGAGATCTTTGTATGCAGATGTTGCAGGATCAAATAGTTGGTTGTTCTTTTTTCATTTAGTAGGTTACGTCTCTTTTACTAAAAGTTGTAATTATCCATATGAAAGAAATATGTTTTTACCCACCATATTTTGTTGCCTGAAGGGCTCTTGCATGCTATCGTGACTTCAAGTCTCTTGATAGTTCTCTGCGGAAATCTGGCCCTGTTATCAATTCTGGTTGTTGTTTTCTCCATTATCGTGGAACAAGTAACAACATTCCAAGATGGTAAAACAATTCTTTCGAAACACTCTGGTGACAGTGTAGAGCTACCGCCCCACCGGAAGGGACGCGGTGGCTCCTCAGACACATCACGTGACATCCACATGAAGGCCTTCCTTGTCGTAGAAAATTAATAAATCTGTGTCTCCATGAGGAGGCTGGGCGGGGCTGGGCGGGACTAGGCGGGACTAGGCGGGCCAGAAAGGCGGCTGAGTTTTGCCGAGATAGAAATCATATGTGCATCCTTAGCTGCTTGCCACCGCTGCCGGGCAATTTGGGGGGCTCTGGCGTGCGAGTGTGTGAGAGAGAAAGACATACCGAAACTGTGCTGATGAGGGGAGGATGGCATTGGCTAGAGGAGGGGGTTGCGGTCCAACGACTGACTGGTTTCCAGAGCGGCTTCCAGAAACAGGATGGACTTTTTTTGTGCATGTGTTTCTGTGATTTACCGTTGTGTCGTTTGGGCTTAATCAGGTCATCGTCTTGTACTATGGAAATCAGACAGAGTGGCGGAGTGGGTCTTATTGGCACTGAGAACCACATGCGCAACACAGTTTATCTTTCTCACTCGTCAGCTTTTGCCCGTCGTCAGATTTCTGATCGGAGCACCGCAGTTCGTTTGGGCAAGGCAGCGGGGAGGGATCATCGCTTTGTACTTAATGTTCCCTGGTTAATTACCTCATATATCAGACGTACATAGCGCCCATCACTTCCTGTCATGAGCCTCTCATGGCTGCTGGTGCTGCCGGCTGACCCCAGCGAGCCCGCTGGACATTCCAGGGCTCCAGCGCGAGCGGGGGCGGCCAGCGTCCATCGAGCGCAGCTTGCTAGAATTTATTTTTCTTTTGATCAAACAATTTCTTAAGTACAATTTGACACTATCGTTATGTTGTTTTTTTTTTAATTTTTATTTCTTTTGTGGAAATCTGTATCACGCATTTTTTGGTTTTACTCCTCGTTCTGCGCTTGGTCTTGGTCCTGATGGGTCCCACTCCACGCTACACTAATGGCTACGGCCGTATAGAGTCAGTCATCGATTGAAAACCATCACGCAGCGATATACACACTTTTTTCGTTCCTAATGTGCTTGCCTGTCTCACGATACTCTCGTGCGGTATTTAATCATGTGTTCTAATTTCGTTAGAGCGAGGTGCGTGTGTATGGGGAAGGGGGGAGGAGGGAGGTGTTTGGTTTTTTTCTTGGAGGACTCGGAGGACGTATTGCAGTAGTTTTTCGCTTCCCGGAATACATCTTATCTATTTAGAAAAATGTTCCGTTAAAGAAAAGAAAGAACTTTTTTTTGAAAGGAACGTATTTTCAATTAAGGAATCATTATCGTCAATGATTGGTTGTGCTTATCATATTATTTTTTTCTGTGTTGCAGGTGGGTGGAGTTTCTCTTTCTTCCCGCATCGGAGCCGACATCATTTCGGTAAGAATTTCACTCTAAAATCGTGCCGGCGAGCAGAAAACTTCCGGATCGTAACGAAAAGGTAGAAACTGTTGACGCTGAGGTGCCTAAGGGAGGTACCCATGGGGAAAGGGGGGGGGGGGGTGGAGGAAGGGATCTATATCAACGGGATCCATCTTGATGATGGGTGCCTATCACTCAATAACAAACCCTGCGACAGGTAATCTCTTTTGTGGACACACTGTTTCTCTTCGCTCCCCCACGTCATTTTGTCTTCCCCACCTCCTCACCTCTCTCCCTACCGTTCAAGAAAGAATTAGGAAAAATAAAAAACGCGCATGCAGTTTTTTTTTTGTAAAGGATTGGTTCCTTTTCACCTCGCATTTTAGAAATTTCGTGTATCACCAGCAAAGCAGTGCATATCAACCGACTCGGCCGTGGCCGGTGCAGACACACACACCTGTGCGTCGAACATCGGATGGGCGGTCCGTGGCGGGGCGTGGCGGATACCTTGATGTGCCCGGGGCCTCTTCGTGTCGACATCAAATATAAATACGAATTAACGGCTCGGCGATCTAGATATCATTGCGTGGACCCGTCGCGTCGTGCTGGAATGCCGCGCGTCACTGAAGTTTCTGCAAGATCGACGTATCTCGATGAGGCTCACTGTGGTGTTGCAAGGTTCTTTTTTTAAATTCATTTTTTACATTCTTGTCGTTGATGCACCCGGAAGTATGTGTGGGTCTTAAACAAAATTCGTGTCGTCTTACAATGAGTGCGTTACAGTCAAGAAAAATGCACTAATGTCAAGGACAAACTTTTTGGGTGTGCGCGGTCGCAGTGTCTTTCTCGCTCGCGTCCACGCGAAACGTGGATAATGATAGACCTGTAGCGCGGCGAAAGGAAAGAGAGAGAGAGAGAGGGAGAGAGAGAGAGAGGGAGAGAGAGAGAGCGGGAAACACGAACAATCGGAAACGAAAACTAGGGACACCGAGCGGTAGAAATGAAGGGCATCCGTCATTAAAGTGGTGCAATGTAATCTTCAGCCGTTCCCGACGGCAGGAAGTGGAATATTAATAGCATTAATAGCCTTTGGCGGCGCCGATTATGTTGGCAGGGCTGCGGGCGCCAACATGCCGCTGCAAAAAGTGCACAGGATTTTACGATTTTTCGACATTTGCTTTATTTTCCATCGAGCGGGGCGGAGAGGAGATGTTGGCGCCCGGCGCCCCTCCTCCGACGGGCTGAGGCTCCGCTCTTGCGCTGAATGGTTCCATTCCGGGGCTCTGCTCTCTTCCTCTCTCTCTCTCTCTCTCTCTCTCTCTCTCTCTCTCTCTCTCTCTCTCTCTCTCTCTCTGCCTACACTCTCGCCGAGTCGAGAATTGAAAAGTGGGGTCGGGCGCCTCTCGGATTTCTTATTGCGTCGAAAACGATTGAATTTAATGTGCCGAAAAAAGTAGCAAGTCATTTTCTCTGCGTACATACCCTTTATTACGTTTATAGTCGATTTAATAATTGCATTTTGTCACCAAGTCTTATCTACCAGAATGTCGAAACATTTTGTAGAAATGTCTCGGCTTGTCCCCTAGCTCCCTTGATTGAGGTATAGTCCTCCCCTCCCAGTGGGGGCCGCACCGCAGCAGTTGGCGCTAAGCCGCGCTGGTGCGCACTGATCGCCGTGTTATGGGACGATTAGGTGATTATTTGTCGCGGGAAGAGAGACGAGTGTGTGGGTGGATTTGTATCGTCCAGCTGCTAAATTGATTCGATTTTCTATGATAACGTATTTAATTTTAGGATCTGACACTACCGGTGAAATTTCGTCGGTTGTTTCACTTTTTAAGTTTTAAACTTAATTGTATGTACTTAAGTTGTTTCCGTAATGCCTAAAAAGCCAACTTCACCCAAAAAACCTACACAGCACAACGAGACTACTGAAGATTAGTGTCGTAGCGTCGTGTATAATTTAAGTTAATTGTTTAGATAGCAAAAATGTGTAATTTTTCCCCCTTCAGAAATCGAGGGTGCGTGTTTTGAAATTTTCGGAATATATACTTCTTGGTTAGGGCCATTTAAGTCATGGCATAGTTGCAAAGCACGCAAATAAGTCTTGCGCGTGCTTATAGTTTTTTTCTTCCTCTGCTAAATTTAGTCGAACAACGGGGCAGAGGCAAGCGTCCAAACACCCCTGCTGCTGCGGTGTCGAGTTTCGCCGCCCCAGACTGATGCTGCTGCTTGTCGCAGCGGATCGTAACGCACGCCGCCTGTCTTGATTCCCAGAAAGCAAATTCGCCGTGGGGTCTGGACGGGGCCGTCAGCCGACGGGTCCCACAGTTACGGACTTTTATTTCAGCCCCCCCCCTCTTTTTCCATTTCCATTCCTACGCCGCCGCCCTCCCGGACCCTCCTCCATTTCCCCTCCTCTGGCCCTTTCGGTGGTGGCAAATTTGAGGCAGCAGTGGCTCTGGCTGCTCGATGATGAACTGGTGTGGGGACGGAAGAAGGGAAGAGAAAGAGAGAGAGGGAGAGACGGAGGGGGGGGGGGGAGTTGCGGATGTGCGTTGGGCAATTCGACGCCTCTCATATCCTTACTGCTCTCTATTCTTCACCTCTCCCCCCCCCCCCCCCCTTGAGCCGCCGCGCCGTGCCGCCACTGCCGATTTTTGGCGAGGGCGGTGTGTATAGTTTTACTGCTAATTGGAAACGGCCCTTTATCCGGACGGCAGCAGAGCGAGACGGACCCGAGGCGAGCGACCGGCTGGGGGGGCGCCTGAGCCTGACCTGGACTGTAACCCTTCCACCACCAGTCCCCTCTCCTAACAGTGAGTCACTGCTCCCTCCTCTCTCTCTCTCCCTCTCTCCTTTCACCAAACTCTTCCGCGTATACGTCTTGTATTTGGTGGACTGCTTTATTTTGCTTTGACATGCAGTAGTAGTGTGTTTGCCGCTGGGGCCCCCCAAAGCGCTCTCGATTAGTATAGTTTTTGTAATACTGCATCTTCTTCTTCTCCCTTTTTTGCCGCTCGCTTTGACTTGTTATCGCGCGGCGCCTGACTGGGGTAATCGGTGTGGTGACTGGGGCCCCCCTGCCGGTGGTGAGCGTGGCCGCCTAGTGGCCGCGGCGGGGGGCGCACTAACACGCCCGCCCAGCATCCCGGCACCGTTTGCTCTCACTCGCTACCTCTCTTCTTTCTCCCGCACACACGCTGCTCATTCTCTAACCCCCCCCCCCCCCCCCCCCCCCCCCCACCCTCCCCCCCCCCCCCCCCCCCCCCGCCACACGTGTTGTCCTCGCGTACTACTGCCTTGCTGCTCTTATGGCTCTAAATCACAAGGAATTAATTCAGTGACACAAAACTTCGCTAGTGCAATCTCCACTCCAGCCTTCTTCAACTTCAATTTCAAAAGTGGTTACTTTTCTGTTTTGCTGAATTTCGATGGTAGTCCATAGTACCTATAAGCATAAATGATGTCAAATTTTATAGAAATAGAAGTCTAACCAGAGGTCACAACCAGAAAAGGTGTCACACACGTCTTATTTTCTAGCAATGTTGTCGCTACTAGAACTACTCCCTGTCGGCCTAGTCACCAGAGTCTGTAATGTCTTTCTCGCTATTCGTATTGAAAGTCACGTTCATCGCGGGACCACCTCTCGGCACGGTTCTGCTCCCGACTCACGGGGAAAATAAAAAAGGCTGATTGAAAATACTTGTGAAAAGCAAGCACTATCAAATATTTGTCGATAATTTCTGTCAGTTTTTGTGTAATGCACGGTTTGAGGTGAGGCATGCATGCCGGGGAGTACGCGATGATTTAGAGGGAGGCGGTAGGCACTCCACGATTCCCGCCCGCGGCACTTGAGAGCGAATATAAATCTGTGCGTCATGCCCTCTCCCTGCACCCCTTTCACTGGCCCCCCCGCACCCGGTCAATCGCCCCATTTTCTTTGATATAAAGCTAAAATTACCGGCCCCTCGCTGCGCGCGACGCGTGCAATAGTGCCGAATGGGTCGCGGCCAGTTTACACACCCCGGCTATACAGCAAAAGAAAAAAGTGACGGAATTTTTTATTTAAAAAAAAAGAACGCGTTTTCTTATATCGATTACTTAGAAATCGAACAGGTAATGACGCTCACCTGCTTGCCCCGCCCCGCGCTCACACCTCTAGTTGCTGGTCATTTGTTTGTTTCTGTTTCACGGGGAAAACAATTTGTTGCTCCATTTTTTATCAGGACGTTCCGAATACGTGCGCGCCGGGGAGAGGGGGTGGGGGATGGAGAAAAGGGAGCGGGTTCAATTTGTTACCGTCCCTCTTCTTTCTGTAATAGGTTAGGCGCCTTTTCCCTCATGATTACTGTATGTGTGTGTGTGTGAAAGAGAGAGAGAGAGAGAGAGAGAGGGGGGGGGGAGTAGCAGCTTTAGTCTCTATGGGTGGGAGGCTCGGGAGACCATACCGATATTTCCCTCGGATGAGTCATTCTGATAGGTCACTAACTCCGAGGCGGAAATCTTCCCCGACTGGTTGATCCCGTCCACTGTGTGCCCAGTTCAATATAAAGAGATACTTCTTCATCCTGTTTGGTTTACTCTTTTTTTTTTTTTTTTTTGTATTTTCCCGCGCCCGCCGCCGCCGCGTGCCTCTCTCGCGCCTCTCGATCGATTATTTATTTCGGTTGTAAATCGAGGCGGGCGTTGAAAGGCCCAATGTTGAATGGGAGGTCCGATCGGTGAGGTGATGAAGTTGTCGATACATCTGATAGCGCGCCGCGTAAATGAATGAATCGTTGAATGAATGGAGTGAATGAGCGGCTGGGCCTCGCGCGCGCGCTGGGCCGTCCGCCACCTCGGCAATCACAAATTCCTCCTCCCCGGCCACACCTGGTTGGCACCGGATTCACATTGCCATGAGTTATGGTCCCCTCGCGCGCGCGCACTCGCCTTTTGGTTTACGATTATGATTGCAATTGCAGTTCGGCCGCGGTCTCTCTACTCATTGGTCTCGATGGCTGCGCTTTAAAAGG